CCTCTAGTAATATATTTACTGAGAAAAATGTTGACGTGTTCAATACTTATTTTACCCGCTGTATTTGGTGTTTGTGAATAAGTTTGTCACCACCTCGTCAGGATGCTGCTGCATGGCTCGTGAGTAACTCTGGTTGTCATCGACTGGTCCTCCAGACCGACCGGATGGGAAGCGTTGGCTGTTGTCTCTGCTGATTGGATTATTCTGACGAGGGGGCCCAGGAAGGGCGTGAGACGGAGCAGGAGGCTGCCAGCCGTCATAAAACTCTGGGATGTAAGGTGGTACGTTTTCATCCGGCCACGCAGACCTGGGAGGGAAAAGTAGKATTGGAAAATCTCAAAGTAAAAAGGGAAAAGAAGCAGTTTGAGTTTGAAATCTAAATTGGAAATGCTGAATTCAAGATATCACAAAAGGCAAATGAAAGCAGTTTGAAGCTGGAGATAGTAAGCTGCCACTTTTTGATTTTTGTATAATTTAACATGAAAAATCTTCAGAGATTACAGACAAAAACTGGTTAGCTCATGTTAAAGAGTCTGTAGACATTTTTTATGCACAAAAAACTACACCACGTTGAAAGTTTGGGGGAACCTATCCAGAAAAAAAAAATCAAACAGCCGCCTGTAATTTTGTCTCAAAAATACAAATGTTGGATGTAAGAAAAAAATAACTTAAAAAAATTTGTGTGTTTTGCTGCTTTTTTCTCTCAGAATTCTGTTTTTAAACTCAATTTTGAGACTAAAGTTAGAATTCTGAGAAAAAAATGACATAATTCTGACACTTAAGTAAGAACTAAAAATAAACTTTTTTTTTGCTCTGTGGTAGTAATCCTCTTCCATACTAAAAGCAGCTGCTGCTAAAACTGTTTAGTGAACAGCAGTTTGTTCTATCTACAAAACCTAAAATTTAAAATGTTGGTAAGGTTTGATAAAGGTGCTCATTTTTGTGAATAAAAATTAAAAATTAATTTTTTAATTACGAACTGCATTTTAGTAAGAGCAATAGAACCTCGACAAACTGCACCTGGTCTTCTCTAAGTAGCAAAATAAGAGCATTTAATCAATTTAATTATTTTTTGTTTATTATGATCCATTTATTTAGATATAAATTTCCACTTTACAGCTCATCAGAATATAGTCACTTATTATATGTAGAGAATTCTTTTAAAACAWACTTCATTAGTTTCCATTTCCTGGCTCGAAACACGCCCTGTTCTTTCCACATGTTACAAAAGCAACATTAACTCTGACCTTTGTTTATAGCAGCTAGATGCACCACGCCCAGCGTTCAGGTGGGTCAGGTCAGGAATATGTGTGATTCAACTGGTGAGCAGTACATGAAGAATTTCTATAAGGAAACAAGATGTGTGTCAGGACTGTCCTACCTGGGCATGGACCAGCAGTCGCCCAAAGTCTTCCACAGGCGTTTCTCGTCTATGGACAGGGTCTGATTGAGCATGTTCAAGGCCTGCTCTGTCAGCAGGGGAGACACAACTGTAGGAGGCAGGTCTGCAGGATACAGAGGAACTATCTGTGGGGAAAATAAACATGGTTTCACAATAAAAATATATAGCCAGATACAAAAAAAAAAAAACTATCAAGTGCTTACCACGCCCATATTAGTGACGAAGATGTGAACATAATCAGCAGCGGTGGGGTTGGCCAGAGCTCCTTCTAACTTAGCCTGAAATGTACAGAAGAGTGTTTCTGCCCAGTTAAATTTTCTAATTTTAAATGACAAATTTACTCTCTCTCCTGCTAAAAATAACCGAGTGGCATACACAACTGGCCATGAGGTTAATGTTTGTTCAAATGTTGATTAGAAATATAGTAAAAAGGTAACTTACCAGCAGATTGAATCCATATTTGAGTTTCTGAAGGCAAAATACGTATTCTTCCCAATGTGGCAGATTGGAAGCTGTTGATAATACAGCAAGAACTCATCAGGCCCAAACACCAGACCTGAATCTACATCAATCCACTCTCCAGGTTTTCCTACATATGAAGCTTCGATGAGGACCTAAATAGATCAAATGTGTTACCGTTTATATTCGCCTTTTTCTTCTTTTTCTTCTTGTCTTGAGGAGGAGGTGCACTTGCAGCTGCTTTGCCTAAGAAGATTTCCAAATCGTCGATGACGTGATTTAAAATCTCCTGAGGAAAAGAATGAAGCATTTTAAATTAAACACCGAACATTCGGAGTCCTGTTTCAAGTTTCATGCAAATGTTTTAAACTGAGCTGATCTATGGATGAAAAAACAGCATTGAAGCTGTTTTGGATAAAATTTAAAGTGGCTGTGACGTGCATATTCTTCAAATACAAAAAGTCAAAGAAAACATCTTTATATTTAAAAACTTTGCATAATAAACAAGATTTTACTCATTTGGTCACATAACTGGCATATTTTCCTTTGAAGTGGGCTGAGCCAGAATGAAACAGGAAGTGACATCAAAAGGGCTTGTTTATTGAAACATTATTATTTGAACTCTGACTCTTCATTTCTGATAGACTCAAAATGATCTAAAGAAACATCAGATTATTCTYTACAGCCATTGTAAAAATGCTCTGCTCACATGCAGAYATTCCCCTTTGACATCACTTCCTGTTATTTCACATGTGAATATCTCAACAACTGTTTATCTCAGCAGCATGTAATTTATTTAGCAATATTTTATCAGTGCGATCTTTTCAAAAATACATTTGTATTTATTATAAAAATTGTATTGTCACAGGCACTTTAAAGACAATATTATGCACAATCACACACAATATTACTCAAGAGTATGTGCTGGGAATGACTCTCAGCTACTAAAACGTTAATTTTTAGCTTCATATCTATAAAACTGWCTGAGTTGTAGCCATTCTTGTGTCTTCTRTTGTTACTTAGCTGTAACCATCTCGAATTGGGTCAACTCCAAAAAGTTAATCAGCTATAGCTGGACATCTAGTGATTATTTTCRGAAAGTTTTAATAATATTCATCCAGCTGTTCATGAGATATTTTCTTAACAGACTCAACATAAAATGTGTGCAACCTTGGCTTGAGTTTTGGCAGCGCTTACCATGTTCCTCTCTGTGTCTGATACGTCAGGAACCACCTGTGAACTGMTCTGCATCTCATGAAAATCCGCATACTGATTCATGTCTGCTTCTGGAGAGTAGGTCCTCTGGGGAGCCATGTAATCTAATGGGAAACAAGGAAAAATGTCAAAGGGATATTGGCAGCCTGAGTTTATTGTTTATATTTAAAGATAGCTCACGCAGAGTGTTGTAAAGGAAGATAAAACTAAATGAATTAGATAAGCACTTCTAGAGGAAGCTTCTCCTCTCGGTTCTGAACGTACCAGACTCTCTCCTCATCGGCTGTGGGCCTCTGTAGTCTGGAGGCGGGAGAGTCTCCTCTTGTTGCACAGGACGGGGCCCGGATCTGAAGCTTGGACGTTGCCGATCAAAGCTATTCCTACGAAAACCATCAACAAAACGATGTTGCCGTTTGATCGGTCTCTCTAGTTTCTCATAAATAACATTTAACTTTCTTGAGTTTTGTACCTGRCGTCAGGCGGATGCCCCCCTCCTCCTTGCACTGCCTTATCCAGATCGGCCTTAATCACCTCTGCCTGATAAAAAAAAAAGAACTCCTTTTAATCTCGCTCCAGCAGCGATGCGCAGATGGTGACAAATATCTTGCCGTTTGTGAAACCGAAGCCTTCATGAGGTCAAAGGTCAGCTCACAGGTAGCATATGGAGGACTCACCCCGGTCTCCTCACACTGGAACATGTAGACCTGTGGGAAACGTCTGCTGTGGTCCTGCACTGTTACTGCCAGCAGGGAGTTGTAGGCGCAGCTGTCCAGCACAGCCTTGGTTTGCATGATGCTCATCATGGGTACCGACTCCAGCTCAGCCTGATGACGAGACACAAATT